AAAAAAAAGATGGAAACGAAGAAAAGAAGCGTAGTTCGTAACGGGAAAGCAAAAAGTTTATCAGAAGCTCAAAAAACTCTTTTCATAAAGTTAGCATCTGCTCGTAACGTTGTTATTACGGGAAAGAAGAAGGTTCAGCGTAACTCTACAATTGAATTCAAGAAAAAAGTTATAAAAGTTAATCAAAATTACAATCAATCTTCACATAAACGCGCCTTAATTTCTTCAGACAGCGATGGAAAAGAGTTTTAAGAAACTGGACAAAGATCTTACACAGATGAAGGGCATGATTAATGAGCAAAAGAGGAAAAAGCAAACTCCGCACGCCAAAACGACGTGACGTTGATTTTGACAGTAACTGAGGAGCTAACCACATGTTTGATCTTTTCATAGCTGATGATAATTTTTATTTAAAGCTTGCACATAGAATTGAGGAAAATTATCAAACCTGGGCACAAATACCCATATCACAGGCATCCTTGAACAGTTGACAAAATAAAAAAAACATTATATCTCTGACGATGAGAAACAAAAAGAAGCTCTCTTAGACATGACAAATATCAATGCACCATATATCCTCTATGATATTACTAGTAAATTCTTGGCAGAAGTCTGACTTGAGAGGCTACTGACGTAAACATCAGTATATACCCATATAAATAATAATATCTTATGCACTACTCAAATACTAGATGTGTTCAGATCGTCCTCTGCACCTCCTTCCAAGCTTTCCATTGCCATTCGCATCGATGCTCGCATGTTGTTCAAACATCGTTGAAGCTTACTAGAAACAAAAATAATTGATGTTCTCGTTCTAAAGAAAAAGTACTTGTAGAAAGAGGTACAATTGCAAAAAAAGCTATATTGAATGGATGAGAGACAGCACCTTGTAATAGAGAAAAGAAATACGAATGAACATTTGAGATTTTCATGCAACTTTATTCAAAAGATATTTGAACATTACGAAAAGAAGGCAGTTTACTCACCGCTGATCGAGCTGCCCCACCAGACCAGCCCGATATGCATTGACATGGGTTCTGAAAATTATACAATAGAATCGGCTTCCACTGAAAAAAGTAATGACGTGGTTGCCAGCTTTTGAGTTGCATGAATTTCATTGATTATTGAATGTCTCTTTAATTCGTATTTCTAATGACTAATGAGTTCTCCTCTAATTCTCTTCTTAACTAGAGACAAAATATTCTTCTAAAGTTACAAAATGTGCACAAAATTGTTAAAAGATAGATTTTATCGTTGTACCTTTTCTTGTGATGCAAAAAAAGATTTGTAAACAACTGACCTTGTTTCTAAATTCGTAAAACCCCCCAGTGCTTGCTCCAAGGCACATATGTCTATAACACGTTGGGACGCTTCTCTTTCAGAAGCAGGTTCACGAGCTTCAAGTTGGTCCAGTAGATTGACAAAAGCATTCTGTACAGTAGCCTGAAAAAGAGAAATCAACAATCAAAGTGAGAATCCTTGAAAATTCTATATCTGCACCTGTAGGCATTCTGAAGTCAGCTGAGGAGAGCAAAGCTCTAATTCTGCTTGTTGCAACACACAGCACATCATCATTTCCTTAGCATAGTCGGAGACATCTTCAAAAAATGAAAGGTTAATTTCTAATTATTTTATGTATTATTTTAACTAACAACAAAAGGTTTAACACACTGTTTGGAAGACACTCACCATCATCGGGAATGTATTCGTAGTTGGCAGATTCTATCAACGTTAAAAAAGCACTACTCTTTATCATGATATAACACCGAACCAATGTTTGCCGATATTGCGACAACTTTGCTTTTGCTTTCTAAATAGAAAAAAATTTAGAATGAAACTATCGACGAAGAACAGAAAAAAGACTTACGTCATAAACCTCATCTGCATATTTCACTCCACAATCAAACATGCGTTTGTTGATGCTTTTCAACGCATTTTCCAATATAAACTCCAAATTACATATGCTTATTAGAAGCTTCTTCGTAGTAAGCTGTAAGCGAGAAGAAAATGTTATATGAGTGCAAATATAGAGCATCGTCTTACATGAGACTTCTCGTCATCTTTCCGACCAAGGTCAAGGTCTTGTGGTTTTTTCAAATCAGCGCGAAGATTCAATAACCTAAAAAAAGTACTGCCTTAGAAGATGAAACAAGAGTTTATGACACTGAGTAGGACGTTAAAGGCTTCAATTCCTCGAGATAGTGATGCTCAAAAAACGAAAAACTTCTCCTAGGTCAGTGTCTTATCAAAAATATTTTCCAGAAACAGACACGTTTTCATCGAGGAGCGACACAATTATACAAGAGAGGAAAGAGTTAAGATTGGAAAGCTCAAAGGGTCAAAAAAAAAAGGATCGACAATAATACTTTTTGAAATAAGCACTCCTTCAAAGTAGATAAATCCTAGGAAGAAAATTTGTTAAACTAGGTATGTACTTTGCCATACTTGACACTATATAGAAGATATCGACCAAAATTTATTCGCGAAATTCTACGCACAGAGAGATGATTTTTAATGGAAAAAAGTGCACATTATGTTAGCGCTGAGGAAGTAGGAGAAAGTCGACATTACTAATATTTAACATACCTGTCAAAGCAGTGTCTTATTGAAGTCACCAGATGAACAAATATGTCGACGAGTGTAGTTCTAAACCGCTCACGTGAAAACAAACACGCTTCACCAGGGTAACCATTTGTTGCCAAGGCATCCCGAACACCAGACAGACAATCAAACACCTATGAAAAATACTCAATACCCATTTAAAAGAAAATTTACGTTATAGTTCATTTATTGCGCAATATATATGCAATCTAGGGGAAGAGGAAAGAGGTAGAGAATAAAAGTTCACCTCGTTTTCGTAGAAATCTGGAAGAGTCGTTTTTGCTGCAACACTTGAACTAAAGTCTTGTTTCCAGTTTTCTTTGCTTCCAAGAGCACATATATCTAAATACATCAAGAGACTTGAAAGGATGAAAGGAACTATTTATGGCAAAAAAAAACCTTACTTTCCACTCCTTTATCGATCACATCGGAGACTACTTTCAGTCGCACCGTCATACATAATTCTATCAGTGGTTGGACGTGGGTATTTGTGAACTGAGCTTCCAATAAGGATGATATGAATGATCTTAAAACTCAGAATCATGACCAGTGGTAGCATAGATAATGAAAGCAGTCACAAACCCTACCTAAGAGCCTTCAGACTCTGCGTGAGGACAGTCCTATTCACTTGTGGTGACATTTCAGGCCATTTAACAAACTGCGCTTCATACCTACAACAGGTTTTCTTCACAAATTATTCTCAGACTCAACAGACGAAGGATAATGACCTCTTGATGACGTCATCTGGTAAGGCTTTCGGGACAAGTGCGTTCAAAATCAACCACGATGACACGTTTATGGTATTGATAAGCATTTGCTGAAAGAAGTGTAATGTGTCTTAATGCTATATTAAAAAAACCAATCACAAACTTGCACATTTCTCAAAAAAAGTAACATAAGGAGAAAATTGATAAAAAGTTGGATAAGATGAGCGGTTCAGTGAAAGCAATTTAAAAATCTGGTTAAATTTTCTTACGTTGATGTCGTCCTGCCGCTGTGTCCACCGCTCATCATTTGTAGTGTATGTATTAGAAAGTTTCCAAAAGGACTGGAGTTTGTTCATTAGAATGGAGACCAATGACGATACAAATAATTGCCTTTCGTTTGTTTCAACCACTAAACAACATGAACCAGTTCGAGTGCATAACAACATACAAAAAATTCTCATACTCACGAGTAAATCGACTGTCCTGAGCATTCTTCTCGAATTCCAAAGCTAAATGAAAGTAAAAATGCTTGAGTTTTCTCACAAGATATCTCTCCTACCTTTTTTGAAATGTTCTTCTTGCAACTTCCACAGTATGTCCTCAAGCCAACAGTGGTAGGCGGTAATACACTCCCAAGTAGGATCAGAGTCTGGCTCGAGAATCTAACAGATACAACATCATAAAATGAAAACATTTCATTTATTCCATTTGAGAAGTTCACCACAATTAGGAAATGTCGGGCGAGTTACAAGCCGAAATAAGACAAGTTTAGATTCCACAACAAAACAACCAGAGACATTCTCAAGGAGATGAAAATCATATTGATACCAAATTGGGGTTGAAAATAAGAATGCTCGAGCAGATTATGGTATTAGGGAGAAAAATTTTGAGGTAAACTGAGAGAAAAATTTGAACATCTCTTCAAAAGCAGCATTCTGGTGAAAAAAGCTTTCATAAGGCTTGAATTGACTTGCAGAAAAACTGACCTTCAAGTATTTTATGAGCTTGCTCTGCTCTTCAAAAGAAGCCGATGTATCTATCAGCTTATGTTTCATCTCTTCTTTGAACCGATCCATTTTACTGTCCAGATGCAGCATCACTGCAGAAATAGATAGCTAGGTAAAATATATAAGTTTGAAAAAAAAA